ACACACACACACACACACACACACACACACATTCATATAATTCAAATGTAGCATTTTTAATGCCAAAATAACCTATTGTCTAATCAGTAGATGGATTAAATGGACTAAACCGAATTGTTTAAAGGTTAGATGAGCAAATGAAGTGTTTTCGGGAGGGACAATTAATTTGAGGAGATATTTAGATAAATAAAAAGAGAAAAAAGCACAAATGCCTGGCCAGTATTTTAAATGAAAAAAGAAATTTCTAGCCTACCACTACGAAAAAGCGCAGAAATTTCATCATTTAAAAAAATCAAACAATAAAACAACCAAAACAGATTTAATTTTTTGTTGGATAACTTCTGACTAAAATATGAAAGGAAAAATAAATAATACAAACTTGAGCTTCTATTCGAGCAGTTGTTTCACTTGTCAACTGGTCTCTTAATAACTGCACCTGGTAGCTTGCCACTTGGACGGTTTGTTGAGCTTGATCTAATTGCGAACGTATCAAATGTTGATTATACTGTAAATTTATTACGAGTAATTTTAGACATAAAATGAAAACTACTAATCTTAGTTTTAAAATATATGAAAGGAAAAACAACCTAACAGAGATTCCATTTGTACACAAATAATCCATGCTACAAAGATTAGATTATTTGTGTAACCATCCAATCTAAAAATTCCGCCAATTACCAACAAACAAAAAGGAATAAATTGATCTCATTTTGAGTAAGTAATATACTTTGTCACCAGAAAATTGATTAGTATTAATTTTTCTTGAATTTCAACAGCCCATTAATTATAAATGAGTCGGAAAATATACCTGATCTAATGATAAATTGAGTTGATAGGTGGTGAGATCTTGTCCTTCATGAGGACTTCCAGGAATGTTCGGATTGATAGTAGAAGAGGCTTGCTGTTCGGAGGTATTCCCCGGTAACGGCAGAGTTGCATAAGGTGATAATAAATACGGTGAACTGAGTCCATATGGCATCGATGCTGATGGACCCAGCACTGGCATCTGAAAAAAAAGTATTTCCAAGTGTGAATTGTTAGAGAATATTTTTGAAATATAAAAAATAATCTATGATCAGATTTTTATTGATTGTATCAGACTTTTAGGAATAAACAACTGTTAATTTGTTTTCTGTTTTGTAGAAGAAGGTACTAGTGTAAATTTAGCATAGTATAAATTCGATCTTGATTTCAAGTTTTTGGTTGCAGAAAAATTTTAAAAGTTTCCAAACAAAATGTTAAATTTGAGTCAGTAGGGGAAACAGAACAAACAGGATAATAATGCATAGTCGGCAAACCACGTTGATCGAGTGTCTGCATTGACTGGAACTGACCAGAGGTCATCTGTGGTGCCCATGTTATTGAATGCGGTAAAGTTGAGGAGCCAGATACGAAAGGCAATGGATCACTGCAATGCAAAACGATTCAACTGAACAAAACTAAACGCACCAATAAAACGGAGCAAATATTTCAGAATACAGAAAGAAGGAATTATCGGAGACAAACTATTGAATGTTCTATTCCGTTTCTACTTCAAGTTTAATAATTAAGTTCTTGCAGAGGAAAGAAATTTGTCGGACAACAAAATTGTAAAAACAAATCAACGAGTAACAACCTGCTAGTGTTTGCTGGATTTCCGGAAGTTGAAGCAGGCTGTTGTACTGGATTCATTTGACTAGGTGAGAATTTTTGTGGCTCATTTGAAGCGCTTGCTTGCGCATAATCTTTGGCTGCAGTGGTAGTAGCCAAGGCTGCCACTTCCAACGCAGCTGATGGATTTAGAACCGTATCGCTAGATTTTTGTTGCACAAACTGCAATTTATATATTTAATATTCAAGTTAGTTAACACATTTTTTCACAACTACTATATTACTGATCATGCGATATTGTTCACCACCAAATAAGATTGAAATTCCGTC